TAACAGATGCTGCCCTGGATGTGCTCACCAAGTTGTGCCAAGAAATCTGGAGAACAACCACTTGGCCAACTGACTGGAAGAGATCTATATTTGTTCCTGTCCCAAAGAAAGGTGACCCAACTGAGTGTAGAAAGTATAGAACAATCTCACTGATTTCACACGCAAGCAAGATTTTACTGAAGAAATTAATAATAAAAAAAAAGTCTGGTAAGCCATACCCTGTGGCCACACAGTACTTTCTGCTCCTCAGGAGAGGAGGTATGTACTTTTCAAAAATGTGCTCACAGACTCTCCACGACAATGCCAAGCGCTCACCGTGGGCTGTGCAAACTCACAGGCAGGTCCTTCAACCCCCAGTGTAAGTGGCATTATTCTAGGTGCTGTTGAGGTGGCTCCAACTCACAGGGACCCCATGTAACAGCAGACTGTACTTTGCCTGGCCCCTACTTGCCTGGGCCCCTCCTCATAGTCTCTGCTGTGCAGTCTGTGTGTCAGGCACTTGTGAGTCCGTCTCACTCAGAGTCTTGCTCTCTTTCCCCGGACCCCTACTTTACAAGTTGATGTCCTTCTCCGGTGATGAGCCTCCTTACAACATGCTCAAACTGCTTGAAGTCTTAAGATCCTTTGCTTCTAAGGAGCATCTGACAGCACTTTCAGAAGTGAGTAGTGGCGTCCTCATTTTCCTGAGAAGGATACAGAGGATCAGAGAGGCACCTATGTGTCCCTGGCAGTCTGGATCCAAAGAGAAGGACTGTGGGAGTGGGGAGGGGGTGTCCAGATACGGGCACAAGCTGGGTTCATCGGGTCTGAAATGGAGACGGATTGACATTTCAAGGGGCTGTTGCATTTTAGCGAAAAAAACGGGAAGTCAGTGTTCCAGGGCCCTGAGAGCCCACAGACTGAGAAGAGGCAGCTCGTGACACAGTGGAGGTTAGCCGGACGCTGAGTGGAGGCCAGCACTCGGGTGGGCACAGACGCGTGGCTGCAGCTGCTTCCTAACAGACTCTGGCTCCTGGTTGTGGAGAAGCCCCAAAGCTGGGGCTCCAGCTCCCCATAGGTTCATCATCCCTCTAGGAAAGCGCTGGCCACAAAGCAGGCCTGTCCACTCGGGGCTTTGCCTGTTGTCTTCCCAACAATGGACACTTTCACGGGGCGTCTGTGGAGTCTGTGTTTATGCCAGAAGCGACAGAATCCTCTAGGGTCATTGTGGGCTGTCTGGATGCTTTGGGCTTGCAGTTCTCAGTTCATTATTACAGAAGAGAATAGTTGAGATGGTTACAATCTGCTTTTTCTGCCCAAGAGTGGTTCCCGTCTGATATATCTACACCTTGTCTGATACATGTACGGCTCGATAGGGAGGTACTCTTACATCCGCGGAATGAAGTTACCTCTGAACCTCAGATGATAACTACAGAGGTGGCGGGGGTTGGGAGTCCAGGAGGCCAGTTTAAGATGCTCAAGTTGTACAGTGGATTGAGTGTCTCACTGCTAATGAGAAGGTCAGAGGTTCAAATCCACCAGCCGGTCAACAGATAATGGATGTGACAGTCTCCTCCCATAAATATGTGTAGTCTTGGAAATCCCGAGGCAGGTCTACTCGTAGCTGAACCTGAAGCTGCCAATAGCTGTTGTTGAGTTGCAGCAGCTCATAGTCACTCTCTGAGCAGCAGATCAGAAACTGCCCTTCCTATCTGGCACCGTCTTCACGGCCTCCGTCATGTTCAGGTCCGGCACCGTCTTCATGGCCTCCATCTCCGTCAAGGTCAGGTCTGGCACCGTCTTCACGGCCTCCATCATGTTCAGGCCCGTCGTGGTTACCACAGTGCCCATTCATCTCACTGAGGCTCTTCCTTTCTCCCACTTACCCTCGACTTACCCCAGCATGATTTTCTTCCAAGAACGAGGCCTTCCTGATAACACACTCAAACTATGTAAGACCAGGTTTCGCCATCCCTGTCACAAAGGAGCACCCGAGTCGTACTTGCTCCACGATAATTCCATATGTTCTCTTGGCAGTCCGTCATCAATTCAGTACTCTTTGCTGCATCACAGTCCCAAGGCATCAGCTCTTCTTTGGTCTTCCTTATTCATTGCCCAACTGTCGAAGGCAGAGGATGTAATTGAAAATCCTGTGGTTTACGTCAGGTGCACCTTAGTATTTAAACTGACATTCTTACTCAGTAGCACGTGGGAGATTTCCGGAATGATAGAGCTCTGCAAGATAACACTTCTTTTGCTTTCTTGACTGCTGCCACCCTGGGTGATGATTACAGAGCCAAGTAAAATAAAATCCTTGGCAACGACAGCCTTTTCCTCCGTTCATCGTGACACTGCCTCATGGTCCAGCTGTGAGGAATCTTGTTTTCTCTTTGCTGAGGTATAATCCGTGCTCCAGGCCTTGGAAACCCTATGGGGCAGTTGTGTCCTGCCCTCCAGCATTGTTGAGGCAGAATAAACTCTACAGTCGTGGATTTGGGTGTTTGTCTGCTTACTGTTAGGAAGGAGGAATTGAAAGTTCTCCTTAAAGGTAAAGCTCTCTCTCAGGTACCAGGTTAGAATAGCTTTTCGTCTTTGGGAAGAGTGTATGGGCTCATAGTTGAAGCTGTTCAGATAACGCTGCATCTACAGTGCTGAGGAGGCCTCTGTCCAGCCTGTGAGATGACCTCACTATATTCAAGCTCATTCCCATTGAGTCAGGAGTCAAAACGGACTCGTAGCTGACCCTCCAGATGTTTATTCAGAGGCTGTAAATCCGTGGGAGGAGATTGCGCTTCTTTCCCCAGCGGTCCCCCTGGTGCATTCAGACCACTAGAGAGAAATGCTCCTTTTGGATCTCAGCACTGCTCTCTAAGGACCAGGCTGCCAGAGCCCCTGTGAGATGAGCCGATGATGTCAATGTGGAGGCTCTGGAAGACAGCGCCAGGCTTAGAGGTTTTAGAGGTTGTTGTGGGTCAGTGGTGGGAGTCCCGTATTCCACGTAGGAGGCCTGAGTTCGATTCCCGGCCAGTGCCCCGTATGCGCAGTGCGCACCGCCTGTCAGTGGAGATGTGTGGGTCTCTGTGATACTGTCTCAGCAGAGCTTCCAGGCCAAGACAGGCATGGAGGAAGGCAGAGGTCAACCAGCAAAACCCTGGGGCTGGGGCTTCCGAGAGTCCAGTTCCTGCAGGAGCAGAGGAATGGCACAGATCAGGCAGCATGGGGCTACCATGAATCAGGACAGCAGTGGCCACTCACAGCAGTAACATCTTATCCCCTGACGCCTAACTTTCAGGTCCCAGTCATGGTCCCCATCACTCAACCTGGGCTCCCTTGCTTCCTGTGTTCAGTGCAGCATCCAGACGTCAGGAGTCAGCCGGTCTGTGTGTTTCTGAGCCGGATGGAATTTGTGTCCGAGATCTAACCTCTTCACTCCTTCTGTCTCTCGCAGGGTCGGATCTGCAGAAAGGCTGGCAAGTCCAAAAAGTCCTTCAGCCGCAAGGAGGCCGAGGCGACCTTTAAGAGCCTGGTGAAGACGCACGAGAAGTACGGCTGGGTCACGCCGCCCGTGTCAGACGGCTGATGTCTGCGCACCCAGCACCCCTCCACTCGCCCCCCACATCCCCTTCTCCACGCTGCACACCCCGTTTCCACGCCAGCCAGGACTGCACCAGGAATGCCAAGGCAACCTTTAAGTTATTGAACAGACACGTTTCCAGGGACAAAGAGGATCCTGTTTCCATTGCTGATGAATGAGCATCCCTAAGCCACTTGAGAACAATGCTGAGATGGGGACCTCCCCCGCCCCCCGCAGCCCTGCCACCCCTCCCCCTCCTTTCCTCATGTCCTTAGCTTCTCCCTGGGAGCAGCAGGCATGCCCTGCTCTGCTCGATCCACGTCCACTTCCAGTGCCCTGCGTGTCTCCTGGGACACTGTGCACTGTCCCATTCCTGCCTGCTGTGCCCCATGTCCTTGTATCTGTCCTGGGCAGGTCAGCTTCCCTTGAAGACTTGCCCTCCTGTGGCCCCTGGTCTGCTGTGGCAACATCCACAACCTCATCTGTGCTCTGACCTTCAGCTCATGCAAACGACAAGTTACTATCGCCAGGTCCTCGTGATCAAAACACACAGACCACAACTGCCGGTTCCATGGACGCTCGCTTTCTGCGCACAATGCGCCCAGAGAGGAATCGATGGTGCTGGGTGAAGGCAGGGGCACGTGGAGCAGAAGCAAGGGGGGCCAAAGGTACCTCCCGGGGGGTACAGACTGCCCTGCTCAGATGCAAACAGAGGACTCCTCGAACCAACCGTGCTCCTGTCTTCTTCCCAAGGCTCAGCCAGCCACCGGAGCAAAGACAGTTTCCCGTCCACTGATGCCATCTGACCCATGTGACCATCCGTGCTAGTGACAGTGAATGCCAGAACTCCCAGCGGAGGCCCGAGTGATATCCGACAAATTTGCATGCTGGGCTCCGTCCACCCAGATGTCACTTGTGTGCCCGTGGCTGGGACGTGCAAGCGCCCTCACTGTGATATGATGCAAACGCCCGTTATTTAATCGTCACCATGTCATTTTTTTCTCTTCTGTTAAGTCGCTTAGAACTTTCTGAGAAGCTCCATGAAGTGAGGAAATGCTGTTTATGATAAATATGAGAAAAGAGGTTAAAAAATATGTTAATTCCAAGTGGAAAAATCTTCTTGGACACATTTTAAATAAAATCATGCACACCTGATCACGCCCCCAGCATCCAGTCACTGGTCAATCACCACTTAGACTAGCTCGTCAACTGGGATTGGGGTTTTTCCCCCCATATTTCAGGGGAATCCCTGGGTGGCATGGATGGTGCACGCACACTCCAGGGTATTAACCCAAAGGCTGGAAGTTCAAAGCTTCCAAAAGCTCCTCATAAGAAAGGTCTGGGGAGCTGTTTCTCAAAAAACCAGCCATTGAAAGCTCTGCAGAGCACAGTTCTGTCCTGGTGCACAAGGCTCTCCATGTGTCAAAGCTGACACCATGGCAACTGCTGTTGCTGCCCGGTGTTGTTAGTTGCTGTAGAGACCATTCCTGCTCATAGAGAACTCGTGCACAGCAGGACATAAACCCTGCCCAGTCCTGCGCCACAATCAATACTATGCTCCGGCCTGTCTCTGCAGCCACGCCGAGGGTCTTCCCAGTACAGGGTTTTGTTTCAAGCTGTGCAGTTACACTGTCTGCGCGCCATGACAGGATTGTGCACCCAGGTACAGCACATGCATCTTTTCAGTCAAAAGCCTTTGCAACATCAGTGGATCAGCTCCGACTCGTGCAAATGGCTGGGTGGTCAGCGGTGCTCCTGAGGGTGTCCTGGGCTCATTTTCTAGAAATCAGTGGCCAGGCCTCTCTTAGCACCTCCTCCTTTCCCCCAGCAGCCTAGTGTGCTTCTAAGGTGGATGGACATGGTCTTAAGAGCAGGTGCAATTGTAATCCACCAGCTGCTGCCTGGGAGAAAGCGGGACTGTCTCCTCTCGTGCAAGTGACCATCTCTGAAAACCTATTGGAGGGTCACCTGTGGGTGGGCTGGTTCCGACTTAACATACGCAACAACAGAGCGCAGACAGCTTGTGGTGGCAGGTGCTTGGACTTGAGTCTCAGGGGACATCAAAGCCAGCTGGCATGGCCGAGTCCACAGGGCAGCGTTCTACGGCCTCCTTTAGCGAGTCAAGTCTGGGGCCTTAAAAGCTCTTGAGTCATTATCTAAGGTGCATTTATTAGAATCTCCCTGTCTGAAGCAAGGATGCGTAGAAACAGTCCAAAGGACCACAGAAACTTCAACCTCCATGACCCTGAGACCAGAGAGTAGTCCTGACTAGCCAGGAGGTGCCCAGCAAGCGGTGCTGACCACTCTAAAGGGGGTCACAGTACAGAGAGAATGTGTGCAGTTGAGAATATGGAAGAAACTCAAGTGAGAAGAAAGAGAATTCCCACTAGTCCATGAGAGACTCTGGAACTGTAGATTATGGCTGGTCTAGGCAAGGTCCTCGAGAGAAGCAAGACAGTGAAGCGTAGGTAGATGATAGATGCAGATTTATTTCTAGGAAATACACTCGTGTGCTTGGAGAGATTGGCAAGTCTCAGGTCTGCAGGTCAGGTTTCAAGAGAGAGGCATCTGGGAAGGCAGAATGTAGGTCGTTGACAGGCGGGGTCTCAGGCTGCTGGCTTTGGAGACTGTCGGCTTCAAAGGCTGACAGTTCTTAAGGTGGTTGTTGGAAGCAGGATGGCAGACAACTGGCTTCTGATACTGATGAATCCAAAGTTGACAAGTACAGCAGGTCAGTGGTTCAAATCAGGAGACCACAAGCCAGGTGGTCAGATGTACAGCTGATGAAAACCTCTTTTAACTTCTTGGTGTTGAAGAAGAAGCATTAATATTCCCTGGACTGCCACATATCTTGGGCAGATATATCTAGGAGAAAGTGCTACCAGAGTGCTCCTTGGAGGCATCAATGGCCAAACTTCATCTCATATGCTTTGGGTGTGTTGGTTGGAGAGACCATTTCTTGGAAAGGCACATTGCACTTGGAAAGGTGGAGGGTAGGCCCTTTAACAAGATGAATTGGCACAGTGACTGCAGCAGTGGGATTGAGTATGGCCGAAATGATTAGGATGGCACAGAATAGGACAGGATTCAGATCTGTGGTTCATAAGGCTGCCGTGAGTTGTACTCAACTTGATGGCACTTAACAACAGCATTTTCCTAGACAATCAAATATCAGTAGCATGCTGGTCACACCCCTGAGGGACTTCCCCCAATCAGCTAGGGCTTAAGCTATTGTACATACTCACAGCTAACCCTGCCTTATTAACATCGTACTCACTCTTTATTGAGTCGTAATCAACTCATAACTTAGCCACCAACAGGTTTTCAAAAGGAAACTGTCCCTCTCTCTCCCCAAGAAACAGTGATGGATTCGAACTGCTAGAGAGACACCCACTTTGAGTTCACAGCCCAACTCCCTAAAGACTGCACCACCGAGCTCCATCCTTCACATCATAGAGGTTAGAGTTCACAGCACACACACTAGTTCCTGGGGATTCTGACCACGCTGACGTGCAGTATCAGCCATCACCGTGGCCCTTCAAACCTAGAACTAAACACGCACTCATAGCTCACAGAAAGGGACGGACTTCTCAGATCAACCACACAAGATCAGAAAGGCAGAATTTGCCCAGAAATAAAGCTCAGAAGACAGGAAAAGCAGGACAGAAGGGTGAATAAAAATGGGGCACGGGGAAATCGGGAAGGATGCAGGATACGGCATTGTGGAAATTGCTGTCAGTGTGTGTAAGTGGTTAAATGGAACAAACTAGCTCTGTAGACTTTTGCCCAAACCACGATGCAAGGTTTTACGGTTTAAAAAACAGGAAACACAAAGGGAGACAGGTGTTAAGTGGGAGGTGAAGGCCAGCTGAGTCTGCACAACCTGCGGCATTTGACTAGAAAGAAAAGGGGTCTCTTTGCAGACAATGAGAAATGCCTCAGGGATGTGGGAGGGTCATAGTTTACCTGCCTGCAGGGCCTAGCTCAGACAGCATGTCTGGTCCACTGGCTGGAGCAGGAGCCATGGCCAGCTCAGCCTCAGAGCCTGTACCCCACACCAGAGGCCATTCAGGGCCCCACAGGAAATGCTGACCTGTACTCTGGCTCTGAAGGCCAAGCTCAGGAAACCCAATGCCTGGGAGTGGAAACAGCTGCTCACCTGATCCCCCCTGGGGACTTCTCCACCCTGCACACCTGCCTTGTGGCTGGAGGTCCCTGACCTGAGGGCTGATCCGCTTACACCTAGGCCATGTATACACCATATCCAGGGCCTCATCTCCCCAGGAAAACCTGAGAGAGCTTCTTTCCAGACCCTTTCCTGCCTCTGATACTGGGAAATGAGAGGACCTCTTCTGAATTGGCACATGTGTGAGAGGGAGCCTGGGTGGTAAGGAGCTGCACTCAGTTCAAACCGACCAGCTGCCCCACGGGAGAAAGATGGGCAATCTCTTGTGCGATTTACAGCCTCTGAAAACCTGTCAGACAGTCCGCTATGGGTTGGTTCTAAGGTGACAGTGCACAAAAGCAACATATGTGTGCTTGTGAGACACATCTGTGCACAGGAACCAGGTGCCACCCTGTGATTGTGTCTTGGAGAGGGTGAAACCCAGTTTCTCCTTAGAGGCAAGCATTTTGAAGCTCCATCTCACATACTTTGGGAACATGGCCAGGAGGGATGGGTCCTTGGAGAAGGACATCATGCTTGGAAACATGGAGGGACAGCACAGTAGAGGAAGGCCCCGGATGAGATGGATTGACACAGTAATTGGGGCAATGGGGGTAGGTGTGTGAGACTGGCTCGGGACACTGCAGGCTTCAGAGCTGTTGTGCATAGGGTTACTATGAGTAACCTCTTGGAGTAGAACTGTGTTCCATGTGGTTCCCAGTAGCGGATGCTTTAGAAGTAGATCACCAAGCCTTTCTGCCATTCCTCTGCTGAATTGGAACCACCAACCTCCTGGCAAGCTATACAAGTACGTGAACAATGTGTGAGATTGATGTTTCCTAGCAAAC